TGTGATGTGTTGAGTGAAGCCTGCAAAAATGGCTACACACAGGTTGTTAAACTTCTGCTACTTAATAAAGTGGAGATGTCAAAACAGCCAATTTGTACACCAGATTCTCCTTTTTATCTTGCATCTTACTATGGATACGTCGACATTCTTCAGCTGATGGTGGATTCGAACCCTTGTAAGTGTTCACATCTTGATTGGGATACAATAAATTTCCTTTAACTGTTATTTTCGTAAACTATTTTGCTTGAGATCATTTGAAGGAAGCAAATTGTAAGTGGCTTGCCAGAGAAGATCAGACAAGTTCATATATAGTTTATATTTTACTTTACCCCCCACACCAGTACTTTCAAATGTTGATACATTCGTTTTCATGGATTGCGTTTTGTGTATGTTTGTGGAACTGTTTTTGCTTAATTCTCATATTCCCATGTTTGCTGGGACCAATTTCAAGTCACTTGAGTTGATGTCATTTAAATGGTCAATCTAGATTTTTATGTGCATTTTAATTTTTATTTTTTACTGATTAGTTAAAACAACTAATTTGGAACTTTGAAAAGTTAATAATTCCATACACAGAACTTGTCAATATTATTCAACTAAAAATGTTTGAAAATATATTTATTTATTTAGTTGGATTGATTTGAGGTTGTGACCCTGGGTTTCATGCTATTTGCGATCATCAGACAAAATATGTTAGCTCTATCACTGATATTGAGTGCTTTCCAATCAGTACCGTGCATATATAATATATAAATAATATAGATAAAAAAAATTGCATATACATATATATACATATATATATATATATATATAAAAAGGGCTTAAACACTAATATTTCATGGTTATAATTTATTACAGTGGAATCGTAATCACGATCCAATTCATCAGACCTACAAATTTAAAAAGAAATTGGAAAAAGATATTTTCCAATTGCTTTTTGAATTTGTAGGTCTGATGAATTGGATCGTGATTACGATTCCACTGTAATAAATTATAACCATGAAATATTAGTGTTTAAGCCTTTTATATTATATTCTTACTCTGTCCTGGACATTGAATACTACCTGGATCCTATCCACTTGGGAATTTTTACATATATATATATATATATCAACAGCAGGTAATGTAAGGTTGGTAAAAATGTATAAGTATGTCCACAACAGTGAGAGTTTTAATCACCATTTGCTTTTATAAATTATGTAAATCTTATAGTTTTTGTCTGTCTGTAGCATTATGAATTGTTGCACACACCTGAATATATTTAATGACAATGTATTTATCATGCTTTGACTAAATCTGAACTTCATTGCTTGAAATTTTGGTTAATTTACAGTTTAGCACCTGCACTTAGTTCGCATTAAGAATTTCAAGAATACTTACATTTATGTGTAATTATACATGCTCTATTCAAATCTGGCTTGATAAATTTGATAAAATCTACCATTTTGGTTTTATCAACAGTGAAAATTTGGATTCATTCATGTTGCAGGCGGCCATTATGGATGTTATTTGCATACATTCACTGCAGAATAGCTATCAGTGTAGGTATCATTGTGCAAACTGTGCTTGTGTATGTAAATAGTTCTTATGCGCAGTAATTGAGACAAATTTAGACAAGAAAGATCAGTTCCATACTTAGCTTTCTGTAGTCTTTTGCTGGAGATGACTTACTTTTGACCGATTGTGCTTTTATGAACTTTCTTCATCCAACAAGTTACTTAAGTTTATTTAATTTATTTTTCTTTTCTTTCATTTATTCGTTTCTTCTATTTGAATTATTGTTTCTTGTTTTCTCTTGTCAGACCTTTTTTTTCATTGGCTTTGGCTGACATCTTTATTTTTAGTCCAGTTTGGTAAAGTCTTACTGGACTACTGTTTTTTTTTCTGTTTTATTTATTTCATTTGTTTTTTCATTTATAGTTAATGTTTTCTTTTTATCATTTTCAAAAAATAAGTAAAGTTTAAGAAAAAAGAGAAAAAAAAGAATTTTTTGAATTTTTCCTTTTTAGTTTATACCCTCCCCATTTTATTTTCACTTTTACACCTAATTCCTTTAAGTTTTAGTTTTTTTTTTTTTTACAAGTTGATTTATTTATTTATTCATTCTTTATGATTTCTTATTTGATTTTATGTCTTTGCCAGCATCTTTGACCACAAATCTTTTTTTTCTTATTTTAATTGTTTTGACGAGATTCAAACCAGGCTTCTGTATTTTTCTTTTTCTTTTGCATTTTAATTTATAATTTAGTTTATTTTTGACATGTGAAAAAAAGGGAAGTTCATTTTTTGGATTTTTGGATTTCGAACGTTTTAATTTTTCTTTCTTGTCGAACTTGTTTTTTAGTTTTCTCTGCAGCTTTTGGATGCCATTTTGAATTCTATTTCATTTTAAAGTCTTACCAGATTACTTATTATATTTTCTTTCTTTTATTCATTAACTACTTATTTCAGCTAGTTTACTTTAATCTAAATCCTATTTTTGTTCTTTATTTATACTTTATCAGTTTTATTTATTTTTAGTTTTATGATTTCTTTTGCTTCCTCGGTTTCGGCCAACTTATTTTTACTTTGGTTAACATTTAATTTTCCCAGTCTTATTTACCAGCCTTTACTTTTAAAAAACTTTATTGCTTTCAGTTTTTTTTTTTTTTATCTCTCTTTATATTCATTGTTTTTGGTTTCATTCCTTCTTTTCAATTAGTTCTTATAAGTAGTTTATTATTTATTTATTTTTATTTGTTTAACCAGGCTTTCTTTTATTTTATTCATTCTTTATTTTCCCACTCTCCTGTTTGTAATATTTGTTTAATTTCTTATATTTTTGTAGAACAATCTAATTTTTATTTTTGCATGTTTTTTTTTTTTTTTTTTTTTTTCCTTACCCTTACTCTGTTTTGCTCTTTGCAAGAAATTGATAACATTTAGACCCACTTAGTGAGATGGTTTTTTGAAAATGGCCAACAAAATTTGTCAGCCTTTAAAAAAGGACCTTTTGGGGGTTGCCACTAAGGCAGAGCCCCTGGATAAAATGAAATCCAATAAATGGGGAAATGCAACCCCTAAAAATCCAGTAGAAAAGCTAAATGTGCTTGCATTGGAAATAAAGAGAATATGCTGGTTGCAAGCAAATCTAATGACGAATGTGCCAAAGGAGGCACAAGATGACAGCTGAAGAATCGCCCTCTTACTGAAGTCCCCTCTGAGTTGTTGTGAACATCGTAGAACTCTTGGAAAAGGCTAAGGGCTACATATATTTTGTAAAAGAAGATGGGCTCTTAGAAGACATCCAAGAATTGAAGGTGTTTGAAAAGGGAATGGTGTTAGTCTTCATGGTGGACAAGCATTTGCACAAAATATGTCACTTCACGAAAGACACTGTGATAAAGTCAATCATGTTCCTGGGGATTAAACCCCAAAGATTAATCAAAGGAACAGGTTTCTCCATGTGGGCCGTACTGCTGTCCACTGCCTAGAGATGGAAAAAAAGAATTAATTACCAAGGACCTCATTCTAAGAATGGAATATGTGAAGGGCCAGTCTGGATGTGTTTGAGGTCCCTCCTCAGGTGATTGGAGAGCACCTGTCTGTATTCTTTATGCAGCTCGGCCAAATTTTAGGTGCACTTTCTGACAACCTGAACGGGGGATGGAGCTTTGATATTATGCTCGATCATTTGACCTTTGTCTCCATTCCCAACTGTTTGGATTTTTGCAGCTGGAAAATGCCAGTCATTGTGACTAGCTGAAAATCTACTTGTTGGAGGGGTGGAGAGACTGGTCACCTCTCCTCCTCCTGTCCAGGGAAGAAGGACCCTGGAATTCTGGCTGCTGGCAACCAGAATCCTCCTCTGGCCGATATTGTTAAACCTGCCTGTAATGGGTCTACCTGCGACACGGACCAGTGAGGACAATCCCTTGGTTGGGTCTTTGCCCACATTCCTTCAAAAACCAACGTCTTTCGCAAGTTGGAGAAGGAAGAAGGGAAATGGCGTGTTGTTGGTAGGAGCAGAGAGAAGAACTGAACAGTGGGGCCTTAGTCCCAGCATGACCCCAGGGATAACAACACCTACAGTCCCATTCCCTCTACCATCTCTAAGGGCGATACCCCAGTATCGTATGAAAAAACAGCATCTGACATACAGAAATTGAACGAACCAAGCTAGCAGAAAATACTGGACTTAAGAAAGTTAAAGAGTTGGATGAAAAGCAGGCTTAAAAACAAAAATTGCTGGGAGCACTGCGCCCCTCATCCTCTGCCCCGTCTTCCCCTTTGTTGAACCACCTCCGCCCAAATCACTGACAAGCACACCATCCAAGCAAATAACTGTAAGTGACAGTCCATTATCTCACCCTTTCCCTTTTAAAAATTACTTCTGGCCATACACACCCACGTACACACCAAAAAACATACCTATGCCTACTCCTTCACAATCACCACAAAAAAAAAGAGGAACAGAAGTCTGGAAGCAGAAGTCATATTGAAAAAAAGAAAGAAAAAGATCGAACTGCCATATCTCGCAGGGGAAGACATCTGCTGTGTATCCTGGGAACAAGTGGAGAGGGTTTTTGGGCAGATGATAAACCTGAAACCATTAAAAGTATTGTGGGACTTTTGGCACATTAGTGGGAAAGATATTGAAGTGCCTAAGAATTTCAAATTGGCAAAAAGGCTACTTACTGTTGTGTGATCCGGCCAGGGTATGCAGGAGATTTGGCGCATGATTGAGGAGGCCAACTCATCTTTGAAATTGGTGACCCCAGCGGCCTACATGCTTGATGCACACATGAAGAAACATTGTACAGGGAGGCTACCCATTTTTGTTTACCCATCCCTGTATAGAGCTCTAAAGTTAACATATCCTGGGGACATTGGCAGCCCGTCTCATGATGATACCATCAAGATTGATATGGCCACTGGATCAATGAGACAGGCTGTTGGTTTTCTCACCCTGGCCACATTCAATGCAGAAAAGCAACCCTAATCAGTCTGATAATGTCTCTCTGGTTAGCTAGCATGAATGCCTGAGACCTAAGGTCAGTCTTGCAGGGCGAGGCTCTCTTGTGACCTTCAGTGCCTCGGGGTGAATGTTTGTTGTGTACATGTGATTCGGTTTTCTTCTCATGACTATGAGAGCATTCTGTCTAGAGGGTTTTTCCTCTATTTAGCATGTTTTGATGGTCACTTGAGAGGTGTCTCTTGGCTGGTGATCAAATCTTTGAAGGCTGGATGTACTGGCCCTGGTTATTCTAGAATCCAAGGAGGAAATGGAAAAACTAGACGATATCGGACATTGAAATTTCTGATATTAATAGTGACAAACTGACTGATTCAGATGAGGATAATGATGTTGACACATGTTGAGTGGACAAGCAACTAGCGATCTCTACAATGTCAATTTTCCAGCATTTTAGAATCCAGAGATACTATTGAAATTTCTGGAATGCATAATGAGAAAAGAAGGTTTGGAAAATCTGACACTCACAGGACCTACCTAACGAGCTTGTATAAATGGATGGAAGAATAGAGTTGGAGGAGAGTAAAAAAAAAAAAATAAAAAGACCCAAACATTACTAAGAGTTTGAAAAAAGACAGGAAGCTGTAGAGAGCCATGATTAAGGGAGCATGATTAATATTCAGGTCTTTGTTACTTCAAATGTTATTATAGTGGATACTCGTATTTGAAATAGATGCCTCATTTTTATTTATTAAACAGTGAATATTACTTTTATTTTAGTAAAGAAAAATATGCCCCCCACCCCCTGACACCCAGCAACCCTATGTAGCAAAAACCACTGATAAATAAAAACAGTGTGTCTATTTCAAATACAAAGTATCCACTAAAATAACATTTGAAGTAATAAAAATGTTGTATTAAAAATGAACCCATTAATTCTCTAGAAATTATTTTGTTGAAAGGGTGTATTCAGGTCATAGGAAACACCTAAATGAAAGCTCTTCCAGCTGCTACGGTAGGGAGTGTGTAATAGACAGAAAACGGAAATGAGAAGGCACAGCAACTTTAGGAACTGACTTCACAAAACAGTCTTGCTCATTGCTCACTGCTGGTTTTCCCTTGCTTTTATTGACAGGAGGTCTTGGATGCTGTGAAGTTCTGGTTTGAGTTTCAGGTGCTTCCATCCAATAACTCGTGTATTGGTGAGAAACCAGTTGGGGAAGACCATATCTGTCTTCTGTACTGCTGCTAATGGGGGAAAACCCAGATGTAGCTGGTGTTGACAGATATGTCTGCATGCGATCTGGGGCCTCTTTTGTGTTTGTAATGATGTACATTTGCCACAGAAACTATGCAGATATGACGCTTGCAAGAAAATAATCTGGGTGAAGAGTATGTGTTTCCTTAAAAAGGGAAAAAATAGAATCTTACTGGCTATATTGTTCTCTGTGGCCTAGCGGTAAAGCACACTGGATTAAACTGTGGTCCCCTCCTTACAAAGAGAGATGCAGGTTCAATCCCTGCCTGTGGAGTGCCATTTTTTTTTCTATTCAGAGATTTCTCAAATGTGCAGGTTGATAAATATAATACGCAGTTTAATAAATAAAAATGAGGTATCTATTTTAAATACAGAATATCTACTATAATAATGTTTTGAAGTAATAAAAATTTTGGATTAAAAATAAATGTGTTTATCCATGTTTGGTAAGTTTTTTTTTTAAAATTTTATGAATCACCTCTCTTTAAAAATATGTTGTATTTGAATATATGTTTATCTATATGACTTTGTTATTTGACAGATTTAATCAGAAAGAGTGTTCGTAAAACACTCTTGTTGGTAGCCTGCATGGGTGGCCATTTGGATGCTGTGAAGTTCTGGTTTGAGTTTCAGGTGCTTCCATCCAATGACCCGTGTATTGGTGAGAAACCAGTTGGGGAAGAACATCAATTCAATCCATTATATGTTGCCTTTAATGGTAAGCACAACCAAAAGCTTCAGTAAGAGACAGTATTTCCAAAATTTTTTCCTTATCTTCTTGTAAAGTTAGAGATCTTGTGTCTGTTGAAGAAATAGGCATGATTAAGCATAATAGACTGTTGAAGCTTGGATAAGCATGGAATAATAATAATACAACACAAAATGTACGTAAACAAAATGTCTTGAAACAAGGAAAAGGTACACAATATTTACAGTTAGTTTTGGTATATTCTTGGGAAGACTGTTCCTGTAGAATGGGTTGACTTAATCGCAGTCGGGCAGAGTCTCTGGATTGGATCTCTTGTTACTTCCCTTCATCTTCCCGGTACCAACCATATTTATATGGTCGGTACTCCACTATGTAAATTAGGTGGATCGTACCACAACATAGACAAAATCTTCAATAATAATAATAATAATAAAAACAGGGCAAATTAATGTAATACAAAGCAAAGCAAGTACCCCAACATCATTACATTGGTGTGCTGCTCTTTCACTCTGTAGTTGAAGAATTCTGGAAAAGTCTGTTGGTCAAAAGCCACAAATCTGTAAGTTAGACAACTGTCCTTCACACATTGCCGTGAACAAGAAAAAAAACAACCTACCCATGGTTTGGGGCACAAGGCTTATATGTAAGTTGGGAAGTCAATGATTATTTGAGTTGGAACAGAAAATTTGCATGATGTTCTCAGTATAAAGGAAAAGGTCATGCAAACCTTCATTTTTTTGCCAATCATTATCAACTGGCAAAAAAAAAGGTTTGCATGACCTCTTGCTTTATATAGAGAACATGCTGTCACTTGTTTTGACAAGGTAAGTCTCCATTTTCTTCACTGCACACCCAATAAAAATAAAGTCATTTGATCAAATCATATTATGGAGATTGGCAAGATAGAAGTGACTGTTTGAGGAAAAAAAAATTGTAGCTTATGGTAATGAGCATTGAAGATAAAAGTAGTGTTTGTGGGGGGGGTCCCAACCTTGCAAGACAATTGAGCCAGATTTAATAATTTTTATCCCTATGATTTTATTTACAGCAAAACACATGGATGTAATTAAATATTTGATTGATGAAGGATTTCCTTTGACTGAACAAATCTGCAGAAAATTTTCAGATGTTGTACAAAGATTTTTACTGATGGACTATGATACCAGTGATCCACAGGTATGTTATCAACACCAATAACATCATTAAAACCACTAACTACTTATATCTGAGTTTTTATTTACTTATTTATTTGTAAATTGTAGGAATAATTTCTTTATATTAGGTTATTCAGAAAGTAATGTAGCATTTCCTAGAAGAAAAATTTTATTAAAAATTACTGTGTTTTTTGGTGTATAAGACATTTTCTTATCCTTGTGGATAAGCTGAGGAAAGGACTATCTTCTTTTACATATAATTTTTAAATCAGAGGATTTCATGAGATAATAGTTCAAAAGATCTTGCTGATCATCCATCATGGTGTTATTTGTTTATAAAACATAAAGGCTGAATTATAAGATTGAAAACTGGATAAAGGAAATTACTGATGCTTGCTCAGGTGTGCATATGGGTGAAGAATTCATGGGGAAAAATAAGTGATGTAGTGATTCAGTCATTTCAAAAATGTGGTATCAGTAATATAATGGATGAGACCAAGAATAACATTCTTTTTTGTATTATTTACATTATTCGGACTATTGTCCTCATCTTTTTCGCCATATTTATCACAACGTTTCGTCCGTTGTACGCTCTGGCCTTCTTCAGGTGGTTGGAATTTCAAACTGAACCCTTTGGGGTAGACTGTTCTAGTTCCACATGCCATGTTTGGATGTCGGTTATCAGTTATCTCTTGCTAATTTCCCTCTGAAAGTTCTCCACTGCTTTAACCAGGTATTGAACTCACACTCTTTGGGTCCTGTCACTGGATCTAACCAATGCCTTTATCCACTGTGCCATGTGGCCTCAAGGACACATGGCACAGTGGATAAAGGCATTCCACGTGCCATCAAACATGGCACGTGGAACTAGAACAGTCTACCCCAAATGGTTCAGTTCAAAATTCCAACCACCTGAATAAGGCTGGAGCATACAACGGACGAATAATGTAAATAATGTACATAATACCTCATCTCAGAAATATAGACAGATTCTTTTTTATCATAATGAATGGATCTGATTATGAATGTTTGATTTCTTTACAAGTAATATTGGAAGCAATAAGAATTTGTAAGTTTTGAACTAAACAAAAGAACAGTAAAACTTCATTTTTATGGTATTTTCTTATTTTGATCTTTTGAGTTTAGAAAAATATCTACTCATTTTTTAAAGTATTAAATTTTAAAGATAAGACTGTTGTTTATTTTCTAAAACTTTGTCTTCAAAAATAAGAATGTGTCTTATACACTGATACATCTTGTTTGGAAAAATATGGTAAGTTAAATTTTATTGATTAGAAATTCTCACAGTATTTAGTATTGTTGAAGTTAACATTTTTTTTGTCAAGATTTACAAACTGTTTCATTCCATTTTGCAAAGCAATCAATGAAATTTGAATAAGCTGATTTGTTTGGAAAAATATGACAAAACCCTACTTCATGCTTTAATAATTTCTTTAATTTTATAGGATTTCATGGTAAACAATATTTAAGAAAATTTTTTCTTTTCATTTTTAACAGCAAAGAATAAAGTCAAGATTTCTTACTCTTGAGCATGCAATATGCAACTGGCCATACATAAATATTTTTTTCTGGAGTCAGATTCCAACATTTAGAATAAATAACAAACTCATTCAAGTCTTTGAAGCATTTACTTCTTAATATAGTGACACTTCTCAATAACAGCAAGCAATCTATTATTCATTGTTTTGTTAATATTTTTACTTCAGCAGGTTTTACTTCAGCTTGTTAGTTTTAATTACTTCCCATAGGTCTGCTTTATTGTTATATTGTTTGCCACATTTATATAATTCCTTCTTCATAATTGACCATAGATTTTTGATTGGATTCAAATTGAAATTTTATGCTGGTCATTCTATTGTCTTCTCTCCTTTTAAAACTTTTATGCTCAAAAAATTCACAGATATCCTTAGATACATGAACAGGAGAATTGTTTGGTATAAATACACACTTTACTTTGAAACTGTGAGGCTGGGACTTGTATCATTTAAAAAAAGTTGTCCATGACATCACAATAGTTAGCAGCACTGTTCAGTTTAACTACTTCGACTTTGAATAGTCTAATAATGGTTTGGTCGACAATTCCAGCCTATATCTTCACACTGCCATTTCCTTGCTGTCTTTTGTCCACAGGCACATCTACACCAGATAAAATCCAATCTTTGGCCCATCTATCAGATTCATCAAGTGTCATATGTGCAAGTTATTCAATTTTCATGTATTTCTTGGCCCAATTTTGATGGTTTAAAATATTTGCTTTACTGAGGACAGTTTGCCTAGGAGATTTCCCAATTTGTGAAGTATTCTGCACCTTTTGTCTTTCTTGAGTCCAGCTCCCACAATTCTTTGAGTCCCTCTCCATGAAACTTGCCAAATCTGCCAGCTGTCTGTTCCTATTGGCATACATGTATCTGGACTCTCTGGTGCACCTAATACCCACTAGCTTCATGTAGGCAGGGGCTGCACCTTCAGGGAACTCTTGCTTGAGCCTGATTTCAATCATATCAGCATCTAGTTGTTCTTTGACACACATCTCGCAGTAGAGTGCCAATGCATTCCATTAAAAGACAGTAGGATGAAGTTGGTCACATTAGTGATATTTTTTTTAACTTGGTGACTTGCCTTATTTTTTCAACTGTATAATTACATCACCTTTGCTAGTAAATTGGTTGACCATATAATTGTTCAGCTGTAGTTTGTTTTTTTTTTCATATTGTTCATATTTGTCTGCTGAAATAGTTTCTTCTTCAAGGGCAGAAAAGTAAAACTTTGACTCATCTAAGTTTCTTTTAACGTAATTCTTAGTGAAAGCAAAAAGAAATTTACATCTTATTGTCTGTCACCACCTACATGTATGTCATCTGCTGCTTTATGTTCTGAGTTTCCTCCACTTACTTCCTTGAGGGTGAATACACATCAACAAATTAAAAAATATATTATGATCTCAAAAAATCTCCCTCCCTGTCTTTTATAATCACCACCCTACCCACAATCCCTCATTGCCCTTATGGAATTTAAAGGTCGTGTATTGGTGTATTGTAGGTGTGTGCATGTTCACATATAAACAATTAATGTAGAAGCAACAAAAACTTGGGTTTCTACCACAAACTTTCTTTTTTTTATCATGGAAGCAGTAGAAAAACAAAGTTCTCAATGTCTCTTGGGTATGTGTGTTTTCTTCTTCTGGTCCAGACATACATTAAGGTAAATAAGGATAAGAATAGTTAAAGTGGTCGAGCTCAAGTCAGCCTTGCACTGAGATGGAACGACCAAATTACTCACTTCATGAGTGTAGCTGCAAAACACATCCAAAGGTTCTGCTTTGGAAAGTGATAAGAGAAAGGCTCTGTCCTTTCTGGAAGTGACGTTATGAAGTTGTGTCGATGACTAAAAACCATTTTCAGTTCCATCATGGGAAAATATATTTCTTTTTTCTTTTCTTTTTTTTTTTTTGTTCTTTATTATTTTGTTTATTGATTTTATTTAATCTTCCCACACCCTCCAAGACATGTTTGCTATTGCTAGATATTTAATCCCTCTCTATATATCTTCCCCTTCTCAGTTTCCTTGCCAATTTGCCTTGCTGATAGGTAAGATTTTTTTTTTTTTACTTCAATTTACACCCTCCTCCATCCCTCATTGCGTTTATATCACATAATCTCAAAACCAGCAAGGTGGGTTCCCTTCCGTTTGCAATTTCTGCTTACTAGCTGCCACCACTACTGCTAAGTTTTTCATTCCCCACCCGACACCACCTGTTTCCTTAGCCATTTGCCTTGCGTCACAGTTCCTGATAGACGTACTTTTTTGTTTTTCCCAAATTACACCTGTAAAAGTGTATTTTTAATCTAACTAGCTTGATTACCTTTCATTTTTGAAGTTTGAATTTTGAGTCTATATCTAAATCTGTTTGATTGAGAAACACTTGGATTATTAAAATTCTGAAGCCTATTTAATTTTTTTCTCTCTCTCTAGCTGGAAATTAATTGGCTCCATTTTCATTTGCCTCTACTTTTAAATAACTGGATGCAACAAATTAAAACAAATATTACAGTGTTAAACATTTCCTACAATAAACTCAGTGACCTCCCTCAGTGTCTACCATGGGAAATGCCAAACTTGATCACATTAAATGTATCAAGTAACTGCCTATCGAAATTCTCAGGCCCTACAAGTGGTATCTTATGTGAAAGGTAAGCAATTGATTTTTATTTTATTTATTTATTGAGTAATCTTTCTGTGAACTTTGACCAGCTTTTACTAGTTTATTCCATGGGAGGAATTCATCCCCAAATTTCAGTTGGATCTTGTTATTCTCAATAAATATGTTCCTTTCAGAGCTAAAATTTATATTAATAATTGCAATGTGTTACAAGGATGCTACTTGTTAATACAAAAAAGTTTTCATTTATGAAGTAGTTGTAAAATAGAGAAATTAGAATGTTTGGAAGATTCTAGATCATTCTAGTATATTCGAGAAAAATCTAGATGATTCGAGAAACATCTAGAAATATGCTAATTAGGTGCTAGCACCTTTAAAAATAGGTTTTTGGAAAAGGGTTGTCAGTTGGTGAAAGGAAATTTCTACCAGTATCAACTCTGGCTTTTTTGATTTAAGGATTATTATATCCAGCCGAAAGAATCTCTATGAAAAGTTGCCAACCAACAAAAACCCCCAAAGAGAACCACATGGAACAAATCTGGTCAATAGAGTTTTGACTATTTTCATTGACCAAACTACCAATTATTCAATATATACTCACATTTATGGATTTCCAGTTATTAGCACTTAGATTACTTTGCTAGCCCTAAAGTGGTAATAAGACTTGACTCCTCTTCCTTCTCTCTCGTAACACTTCACCCGTAAATTCTGTTTTCTGTTTTTGTAAGCCACAATTGTATATCTTGTATATATTTTATGTTGTGTTTTTGCAAATTAAATATTTGTTTGTGATTTAGCTCTGTGTAAATCATTTTTTTTTTCTTTGTTACAATTTCCAACATGTAACAAATGTATGTTTATTTGTGTATGTATTTAAATTTTTTGTATGAATACAATAGTGAACATGCTAATATGTAGATAGATATTGTAAATATATATTTGTATGTACCCTTGTATAGCTATGTGGATGTATATATTATATTTGTATAATACATAAAAGGTTAATGGTCAGAGTTAATCAGACCAGGAAACTGTAGTATTAAAAAGTGCTCAATACACGTGTGAAAAAAATAAAATAAAAGTAAAAATAACATGTAGAGATTTTAACTTTAAAAATCAGAAGGCCAGTTGAATCTGCTACCTTGGTTTCAACCTTATGGCATCTTCAGGTGATTTTTATCAAATGACCTCTTAATGCTTTATTTTTATTTTTATTTTTTATTTTTTTTTAAATTAATGAACGCTATATTATTTTTAAAAAATAAATAAACAAATGCACAACGTTGGGTGTAATAGAAAGGAAGGTTGAGGATGTGAAGAAGAAAGGAGAAGAAGGTGAAGAGAAGAAAAGCAGGGGTATTATAAATGTATCGGTGGGAGAGGGGGTTATTTGAAATATATTATATCCAGCCACATGTGCTTAAGAGGAATTTCCTAATATGTAAGCAAAGACTCAAGACTTCGTGTTATATTATTATTATTATTATATTATGTATGTGGATATGTAAATGATATTTATTTGTACATATGTATTATATTGGAAACTACATATTAGATGTGTACATATGAATTTAAATTACATTTATGTTTGTATTTGGAGGTGTGTGTGTGTATATATATATATATATATATATATAATTTTCATGGAACAAGATTAAGGGTAGTTGAGAAGTTCATTTGCCTTGGGAGCACAATTACAAAAGATGGCTCATTGGATTTTGAAATATATCTACACATCCAGAAAGCCTTTGCAGTCTTTGGAAAGTAGAGTATGGCCAGCTTGTGACATTACCAACCGTACCAAGGTATGTATGGATAGAGCTTGTGTTCTGACAGCTCTTCTGGCACCTTCAAAACCTGGACACTACTCAGAAAAAATAAAAAAGTACTTGAGTGTTTCCAGCAGAAATGCCTGAGACACATATTGAATGTGAAATGGGAAAGCATGACTCCTGATACTGATGTTCTAGTCAGAGCCAATTGCCTAAGCATAGAGATTCTTGTAATATCTTCCCAAATGCAATCGACAGTACACATAATTCAAATGAAGGATAGTCGACTCCCAAAATAAGTGTTTTATAGTGTGTGAGTATCGGAAAACCAGTCCTTGTATCTTTTCCTAGGTTTGTGCTGAGGACAAATGCCAGGTTTTTAGGTTGGCATTTGACTTCAACAATTGGAAAGAGATGGTTCTAGATAGAAAGGTCAAATAAGAGATGGGTGTCAACTCTTCGAAGAATATCATCTGGAACACAAACAGCTGAAGCGGCGACTTTGAACGGGTGATAATCATGGACTCAACGAAGGTATCAAGGGCTGGACATGTGATTTCTGTCAGTGCATACTTCTTTTAAAGGCTGGCTGGGTAAATTATGTGAAGACACATAAAGTCACCCTTGACATTCCCCAGACACAGACTGTCACAGCCTGCACGCTGTATGACAAGATATGCAAAACCAGCTCTGGACTGAAAAGGCACATGGTGATGCACAGTAATCAGGCACAGGCAAACACATTGTTTGTCTGTCACTTGTATAACAAGTCATGCAAGCCTGCAGCTGGCCTGGCTAGTCAACTTCAGCGTCATGCATGAGAGAGGTGTGAGGTGGGGAGGAGCGAACATGATTAGGCAGTCATCATTTGTGAAGATGCGTCGGATCATTATATATATAATTATTATTTTATTTTATTATTCCCCTCCCCCGTAAACAAATAATGGACTGATCCACTATCATTACAGTATGATATAAATATCAATATTTAGATTATGCAACTTTCAGTTTTCAATCAGCAACTAACAGTTGAATCATGCTGTGCTATTGGCGAGGAAAAAAAAATGTATATTTATTGTTAATTATATATGTGGGTGTATATAGTAGAAACTTGATTCTTGATCTTAATTCATTCCAAGAAGTCATTCAAAAACTGAAAAAAACAATCTGCTGCTTTGATGACATATTTATTCTTCAGTAATGGGCATATGGTTAATTTCAGCATTAAAAAATTCAATGCAAGATCAAAGACATGCATTCCACTTTCATAATTTACTATTATTTGCTTTTTCACTTTAATTGTATCTCTCACAACTTTCCACTGAGATTTGCTGCAACATTTGCTTACTTGCTTGATTGGCTGTAAATAGCTTCATAGCCAAGCAAACAAGTAAGCTTCTATTTACCTTAAAGTAATGTCTCCTTGTGTAAATTTTTCTTCAAAGCCATATCTACTCAGTTTTGTATCTGAAACATAAACAGAGCAATTCCTAAAGAATTCATGAATTTTTATTCTTAATCTGGCATATTTTTATTACTTCAAGTGTTATTTTTTTAGTGGATACCTGTATTTGAGTAGAATGTTGTGTTTTTAAGAAAAAGTATTTATTTCTCAAATGTGCAAGAAAAAAAAACATTTGAAGTAATAAAATAGAAAACAGTTTCTAACAAAAACACTGGAAATTTTTGCATATATCTTACACATCAGATGTGCTGAAAAGTTTTCAGCCTCCCAAGAAAAATGAACTATGAAATGTACATGGCCATTCTACATATTCTCCTATTCTCCTAGCAGATCAGCACATTTGCCCCATCATTTTATAAGTTTCTTTTAAACCTTGTTTCTTGTCCATTAAAAAAAAAAAACTGAATTTATTAGAAAATATATTCAGTTTAAATACAGGAGTGATAAAAATGACTTCAAAAACAGCACATTTTGGTTCATATTATTTTCCTGTTATCCAGGCATTGTTGCCAAACAGAGAAATTAGCCTTCATGATACAGATTTCAAATTGTATACATAATTTTGCATGTGTACATGTATATTTTAACTAAATGAAAGACCAAGACTATTTCTGCAAAATTTTTAAAGAAATTAAGATAATTCTTTTTATGACTAAATAATTTCTGTTGAATAATTTCTTATAATTACCTAATATTTTTAGTTTCACACTTTATTTTTATTGCTCAGACCAGGGTAGGTGTTGTCCAGGCTGAATGGTAGAGCAATGTATTATTCTAGTGTCTTATTTAGTAATAAGAATGTCAAACTTAGTGAAATTGTGTGTGTATGTGTGTCCATTAAATGCTACAAGCACATGTAAACCACAATCACAGTGCCTACATACTTATATATGAGTTAAACATCAAATGCTGATCAAATATGGATGATAAAGGACAAATAGGAAATGTATATGTATGTAAGATTTCACAGCTCTAGCATCACTCCTTCATAGTCAGCCTATGAACTTTTCAGCCCACTTCTGAACAAACTGAGAATCAGTTATTCTTTTATCTGTTGTAACCTAGAAAGGGTTACTGAATGAGGAATAACCAAAATGGAGGTTGGAAATGAAATGGTAATCTTTATAACATCAACAAAATACAGTACTCGCCAGTGGCATGAAGTAGGTAAACCACTGCTAGTGGTGGACTATTTAGACAGCATATTACCCTTACTTACAATAGTGTCCATCGTATTTATGAGGATTGGGATATACCCATTAGTGTTCATAGGTACGGTATATAACGCTATGCCAAGTCAATATCTATCTATCTATCTATCTATCCACATACACACATATACATACACATACATACGTACATACATACATACATATATATATATATATATATATATATATATATATATATATATATATATATACATAGGGTTACTGAATGAGGGATAACCAAAACAGAGGTTGGAAATGAAATGGTAATCTTTATAACATCAACAAAATATAATACTCACCAGTGGTGTGAAGTAGGTAAACCACTGCTAGTTGTGGACTACTTAGACAGTATATTATTATTGTTATATGCAGATCTGGGCACCAAACAGTTAATCTGTTAATTGCTTTAATTACCAAAGTTAACATTTTCACCAACGATTCAACTGCCAAGCCAACTTTGAATGTCATCATGGCATCTCAAAAACTTGAATCTGTTGACGCCATCAAAGTTAAAACTGCTTGTGCCACTAAATATCAGCAGGAACAGGGTCAGAATTTAACATTAATGGTTTATCGATAATTTGTTATATTTTTAAAGCACTAACTGATCAACAGTTAATTTTTTGGTTAATGAATTGACGGTTAATGAATTTAAGTTTTTGATTAACAATGATCACCTGTGATGATTCTCAAACTCTACTTAAGTCAAATTACTAACAAAAATGACAACTTTGTTAATCAATGATTAACAGATTAATGGTTTTGTAATGCAACTCTGTCTTTTCCCTGAGGATGTGCAGCCATACAATTCAGACTTTATCTCTCGTAGATATCTTCACCTTGGAATGGCTGTGGGGTTGGTTACATACGGTTTTAAACTGACCAAGGAGTTGGTGTCAGTTAGGTTATCATTTGTCTAGAATTGCTGGTAAAAGTTGTTTTTTATTGACAAGAAAAAGGGGGGGTGCCCTTCCTTTTGACTCAGTAAGCCGTGGTATTTTCTTGATGACTGGGCTGTAGAAAAAGCCATGCTCTTGTCAGAAGAAGGCCTAAACTGGGTTGAAAATGATAGTTTTAATAATAGTAAATTGTTATATACCATATCTATGAACACTAATGGGTATGTTCCAATCCTCATAAATACGTTGGACACTATTGTACATCGTGGGTAAAATTGCTGTCTAACTAGTCCACCAGTATCAGTGGTTTACCTACTTCACACTGCTAGTGAGTATTGTATTTTGTTGATGTTATAAAGATTACCATTTCATTTCCAACCTCCATTTTGGTTATTCCTCATTCAGTAACCCTTTTTAGGTTACAACATAAATAAAGATAGTTTGATATAGCCTAACACCTCTGGATGGGGTAATGACTTGAAACCAAAGTGTGTATTCTCAAACTTTTATCAGAGAATTGAACATTGAGTTAATTTCAGGTGGGTGTGAATTGCATGTGTTGATCAGCCAATTTCTGATGTGTCCCTGCTTGACTCTCCTGGCTGTCTCTTGGCTGTCCCTTGCCTGCCTCTTTGCCATTTACCAAAATGCTGTATATATAAGAACCCATCTACCCGTGCGTTTTCTGAACATCCTTTGATCAGAAGAGGGGTCAAAAAGGGTCATTTCCTCTGGTTTTTTAACTTATCCAGATTTTAGATATCGCCAACCATCAAGGTCATTTGCATTGAAAATAACAACCTTACATATTCATCTGATAAGCCTTTAGGTCAACATAGACAAAACGAATGTCACCTGTCAAAATCTGCAGTCCTTTGAACTATAGATGTTTTCACAATCGAATTTCTTGGGAAAATTTGACTTCACCAAAAGATTCAAACTTATAAATTTTTCTGTTCTATTTGCTACCACCAAAAACCAGAAATATAAAATACACTTCCTTAACAAACAAGTTACCTTGTTACAGTTTGGTGCCCAGATCTGGTTATATGTATGTGTGATGGATTCTTTCTTCCTTCTTTTTGGAATATCTCTTTTATGTTTTTGATTTTTTTTTTTTTCTTTTTCAGCTTGCAAATCTTAATCTTGTCTCACAACAAACTGAAAATGTTATGCTCTGAAGTTTTCCAAATTCCTTCCCTGAAAGAGATTTATGTCACTAACAACCAACTTGTATTTCTCACTGAAGACGAGGAACCTTTCCATGCAATGGGAAGATGTAATAAGCAACTTTTTTACTCTTTGCTTCTACTTAACACCTCAACCAGACAATTTTTTTTCAAATTGAATTCTCTCTTTTAAACCCTTCATTAGATCAGTTCTGTAACTTGTTTATCTCTTTTAAATAATCAAGAGATTGTTTTTGTAAATGGATGCCTCGCCAGATCAATTCTGTGAATTATCTCTTTTAATTTATTTTTGTCTGCCAGCCTGTGAAGGGCACATTTCCTTTAAGTTTCCAGAAGTATGCAGGCCGGTAGAAGAAATAAATCCTGTTTAAAATAAATTAAGCATCTACTCAAATATGAGTATTCACTAAAAATAGCATTTGAAGAAGTAAAAATATGTTGGAAAGATAAAATCCATTAATACTTAGAATTTGCTTTGTTTATGTTTTGTATACAAAACTGAGCAGATGTGTGTTTTGAGAAAAATCTGAACAAATATATGTGCTTTAAAGGGAAAACAGAAATTTTATTGTTTGTGAAGCTCTTTATAGCTGAGCTCTCAAAGCATGCCAGATTAAAAGGGGATGCAGTTTCAAATCCTGCTGGAGGACATATTTTCTTAAGTTTTCTTGAGTGTGTAGGCTGGAAGACAAAATAAGTACTGTTTAAAATTGTCTTAAGTTGTCTAAATTTCTTAAGCATTGTCAATTATTATTAATTTTTGACTTGTAATTCTTTCATCTTATTTCACTTGCTTATTTACACTAAGTAGTAATAAGATGTAATGGTCTTAAGTTGTTTGAGTTTCTAAGATGAAACATTATCAATTATTTTTAATTTTCGACTAGCATTTCTTTCATCTTATTTCTATTGCTTATTTACACCAGGTAGTAATAAAATGAAATAGTCTTAAGTTGTTTGCATTTCTTAGATGAAGCATTTCCAATTATTATTTTTTATTAGTATTTTAACGAGATAATCAAGAATGTAATGCGATGACTAAATTTGAATTATGTCTTCTAATTGTTTGTCATAACTTAATCAGTAAGGCATTATCCTTGTCAGGCTCTCAAGGATAGAGGATGTGAGTTCAAATCTTGTTGGAAGCTTATTTTTTTTACTTCCAATACATGCTGCTTGCTGAAGTCAAAGAATATAAATAATCAAACAATTAGAGCATTGTAATAAAAAAAGCAACAAAAATAAGATGAAAGAAAAACTAACTAATAATGATTATATACATTTTCATTATATACCTTACAAATTATTTCCATTATGGTAAGGGTTGGCATAATGATTACCAGTATAAAAAAAGAACAGAAACCAAGTTTGAATTTTAGCCAATGTTTTTTTTTTATGTTCACTTTGCACTAATGCCCTTGTGAAAGGTATGAAAACAGTTCCCCTAGGGCTCTATCTCATTGCCAGTATTGTGACCAAATATCAACTGATGAATAAGAGCATAAACAGTTGAGTAAACTATTCTGATAAAACTGCTTTACCAGCCCAAACAATAGCAACAAAAACTTGTTACCTCCTATATCAACTTTGACAAGTTCTATCATGCCTCTTGGAAACATAGTGAATTAAACTATTGTAAGTGCTTTAATTTTCCCTACCTAATATAAATTGTGATTTTTTTTTTTTTTTTAAGAGCTACAAAGGACAGGAAATTGTGGAGAGCCGTGATCACCCACATCTTGAAGGGACATAGCATATAAAAGCAGCAGCAGCATAGTTGCTGGAGGATGTTTAGGATGGTGTAACAGTGTAGAAAACCAGTGAATTTCAGCTGAAGTTGTTTAATGTTCACTTCAGACTATGTCCTCTTGGAAAGACATGAATCCACTATTCCCTGTGCTGATATCTTAACACGATGTTCAGTGGAAACAAGAATGGACAAGTGAACATGTAAACAAATGGTAACCAGTTCCATTGGACTTTCTGGTGTTTCTACAATTTTTCTTTTCATTAAGCCTGATGGGGGAAAAATGTCAAAATACAAATAATTATTTAAATACTATAATAAATCAAAGAAAGTCTGAATTTAGCATGAAAGGTTTAGAATTATATTTAACACATTTTTTTCTTTATTCTTGAAGAACTCTTGTGGAGCATTGGAGTGAAACTGCTCTAATTAATGCTGCTACGGCTTCAATAGCAAGTGAATGGAACTCAGTTGCTACCCTGATGCCCAACAGGGACTGTTTTACAAAATAAAAAGGGCAACAACTGCCCTAAAGAATAAAAAGGGTCTTCAACAGCTCTACTATTTAGCTAGAGGGAAAAGTAGTTTTATACCTTTCCCAATGGTATTAATATCGAGTTGGAACAAAAGGTCTGTCCAATTTTATTGCATATATTAAAAAATGAAGATATTAATGCTTATAGAAATATTTAATCAACAATATAGCCTCCATTACTTTCTTGAACTTCATTCCATCTGTCAACAAGTTTACAGGTGCCATGTAAAGTTTTGATGTAAAATACGAAACCAAGTCGTGTTCAACCACTTCTCTTGATGTCAACCTTAGTCCATCCAAATGATTCTGCAACTCTTAAGTGATAATCAGAAAGAGCAAATTTAGAAGAATATGAAGGATGAAGCAAATTTTTTCAATCAAGTTCTTCTAAGAGATCTTTAGTCAATTGTTCAGCGTGCGGGCAGGCATTATCTTGATGGATTATTATTCTGTTTCTGTTGACTAAAGATGGACATGGCCCAGCCTGTTCTCAAATAATCACATTTTTAGCAGTAGAGATCGACAATGATTATTGTCTATCAGTTCATAATAGACACTCAACAAGATCTTTGGATGAAGTTCTTCTCTCAGTTACTGAACAGGTGTATTTCTTTGACTACACTTAACATTATGGTATAGAATTCATTTCTAATCACTAGTGACAAGCCCATCTAAAAGAATACACTTGAAGTTGTTGTGTAAGCAATGACTTGCAACAGTCGAAACGTTATTGGTGATTCTCTGGAGACAGTTTATGAAGGACCCATTTCCCAACTGAGGAAACTTTTCCAATCCTTTTCAGTTTGCATAAGACTATCATGGACATTAAATATCTAGTTTATCCATGGTGGCATGATTTGTTATAACAGCAGCTTCCAAAGTCTCTGAATTGAATCCTATTCGACGATTCTTCTTTGATTTGTCTGCTAAACAAATATTCCCAGTTTTTAAACAAGAAAACCACTTTCTGCAACTTCTTTCACTCAATGCATCAACCCATAAGCTTATTGGATGGATTTTGCTGCTGCATTTGGAGTTTGAACTGATTTCACCAATTTCATTATCCATGACATTAAGTGTTATGCCCCCAGTATTCATTCAGTTAGTCAGCCAGTCAGGGGTAGTTTGTTGTTATTGATAATGAAATATTCATCATTAACCTAAGATTTAAGTTTCTTCAGAATTATTAAAATAGGAAAACCATAAAATTTTCATGGGTTAAAATTAGTTACTATTATTATCGACCCTTGTCAAGGAATTAAAAAAGGTTCTATTTTATATTGGTCTCATTATTTGCTTTCTATTTGTGACAAGTTCTGTTCAATATTTGTTCATTATTCTTTCTCCTCCTCTCTTTGTAGTTTTCAGTACTGATGTCCCAAGAAATTGTTCAAATCTTTCAATCCTTAACTTGTCCTACAACACACTGCAGAAATTTCCAAAAGTTTTGCCACATTGCCAAAATCTTACCAAATTCTATGCCAGCCACAACCAGCTGGGTCACATTTTAGATCCTTGGCCTTGTCCTTTGGTAAGTAGAAACTTATAAGTGTTTCTTTCTGAATAATATTGCAAGAGAACAAAACTGAAATTATCTTTGGAATGTTTCAAGATAACACTGCAAACTGTCTTTTCATGTAGTGACATTGGTATCTGATCCCATAGATAATCAAAACTGAAGGGAAAGATACAAAATGGTATCATATCTATATTTTGATAGTGTCATACTATGGAGAAAAGGAATAGGTGGTTTTATCTTGATCTCAAGTGTTTCTGTTTGATGGACCAGCAGTTGGTTCCTTTTGAAGTTCGGCCTTCTAAGTAGCATCCACTTTGACCAAAGGGGAATTGGAAGTAAAGGAGTGGATGTGGGATTTTTGGGGATCAAGTGGCAACAAAACCAGAAATAGGGTATATCCAGGTGCTGGTCTATATTAACAGTCATACTTGCGATTGGGGAAAGTTCTGGTCTGCCTTTGGCAAGGAAACAGACATGTCAGTTGTGTGGTTCCTGTGCCATCCATTCATATTGCCATCTACCATGTTGGAATGATGAGTTGGTCTGGGGAAAGATCTGAGCTGTTAGACCAACATAACAGAAGTTGTCTCAAGTATCACCAACATACCCACCCAGACAAGCAAGTGACATCCAGAATAAAACTACTATTTTATAATATGAGAAACAGGGTTTGTATTCTCAGTGTGGTGTTTGTCTTGTTAGCTTGTGAGCAGCTGTGGGTCTTTCCCAAGCTTCTGGTACACACCAACGAGATTGAGAGTTGAAATGCAACATGGGGTAATCATTGACCAGTCTGTGGAAAGCTTGGGTGAGTGTCATGTGTATTTACAGGTGGCATGCCAGCCTAGGAAAAGAGAAGTCTTAATATAAGGAAGAGATAATCTTAATAAGCTTATAGGGATGTGAGTGGTTACACTCATGAAAAAAAAAACTGACCAACTTTTGTCTCCATACCTACCATATTTTCTTGTATTACATACAAGAAATTATGAACAAAAATTAAGGGCAGAAAAGGAGGGTCATAATATATGCAAACATTTTCAGAAAATTTTACTCAGTTTAAAACCCTCTTATTTGAAACCGCAAGATTGCAAATAAACTTTAACACAATAGATAATAAAACACAAAGTAGGCAGGTGTTGATAACAATTGTTTACAAAAAGTATTTGATATGTCAGCAATAGTTGTTCTTTGGGAATCAGCATAAGTGAACTTGTTTTGCCTCAAAGAAAGGAAAGTTACCAAAATTGATTAATGCCAAGTTGGCCAGGGCTTCAGAACACACCAACTGCACATCTGCAAAGGGGTAAAACTCCACTAATGAGGCCACTTGTTTGCTGTGGGTGGTGACCTGTAATGTCTGGGAACAGGATTCTGGTGGTTGAGGGCTTCAGGAATCAGAGTTAGAAACTTCTGATTCCCATTACACCACTTTGGCTCTTACTTGAACTAAACGGGTGGTTGGAGAGGCCCAATCTGATCAGTCAGCTGATCATGGCAAGCCTTAGTGCCTATAACTGTATTACTTTATGGAGTACTTTATAACAAAATATAATACCCCAAATTACACTGGGTTAAAATGTCATCTCTATCCAATTTATTGGCATTAGAAGGCAATGACTGAGGATCAGCTATTTTGAAGAGATCTAGACTTAGATGTAGCTGTAAACATTCCAGTTTGAACACTTAAGATTTGGAAAGTGCAACAAATGATTTAATGGGTACTCAGAGTCTCTCCCTAATATGAGTATACTGGTTTGTGTATCCCTGACCTATCAGGGCGACTGGATTTCACTCTTGACATATCCCAATATTGGGCTTTAAGGTGGGTGGGATGCACAGGCAGTGAATTTTACTACATCAAAATTATGAATAATCAAAGAAAAAAACAAATATCTTTCGAAATCTGATTCTGATAAATAAATTAGTATTGGCTTTTCAAGATTTCTTGTGCTTGTGTTCCTAGAAACTCCTATAACAAAACTTTTTCCCTTTCTTAATTGAAAAAGTACTACCCAGTAGGATTAACCTCAAAACAGTTAGGAAATTGGGAAACAGCAATTTGCTAGTAGAAGTAGAAAATAGCAATCATGCTAAAAGTATAATCAAGATGAAGACTTTTCGTAGCTTCAAAAGCCTTTCCCCATAAAAGACTGAACACTTCTAAAGAAGTTATTAGAAGCAGAAAGTTGTCTCTTGCCACACCTAAAGAAATCATATCTACCTTAAGAAGCTAGTAGGTCAGCAATTACTATAGAATCACAACAAAAAGAAAAGGAGAGACCATGCTAACAGACACGTATATCCTTACTTTTGTCATACCTCAAATCTCTAAAAAAAAAATAAGTCAGCTACAATATTGAGCCAGTGGAACAATATATTTTTGCTCCACTAAGGTGCTTCAAGTACCAAAGTTTTGGACATCATAGGGATAGCTGCAGGAGTCACTATGAAGTAAGATGTGCTAAAAAACCATCCAGTATACTCACAATCATGCAACTTCTGGAAAAAGAAAAATAGGAGATAGTCAAGGTGAAACATAAATGAAATATTTCCTTCACAGAAGCAAAGTAAATAGTAGAAAGATACATGAAAGGCCCTTTCTATGCCAAGGTTATGCAAAAAAAAAATGATCACAATGAATACCCGTCAACCTGACATTGCGAAGCTTGTACACTTCGGACTGAATAATGGGCCCAAATTTCAAAACTACCTAAAATACATATACTCCAAGGAAATAATGCAAATTGAACCACTACATAAATCCAATGAAATGATTGAAATAATAAAGAAAAAACAAATAAAAAATCTACCGCTCAAACACAAACCATTCCTCCAAAAGTTACAAACTCTCTACAAAGCAAAGGTCACAGCAATCTCCTATCCATCCACCAAAAGCCATTAAAGAGATACTTAAGAACTTAGCTCCTTAAAGAACAGAACCAGTCAAACCAAACTTTGAAACTCATGGTAATCAAATACTTACACAAAATCGATTTGACAAACTAGAAGAAATGGAAGTGAAAAGCCAGAACCCACAAACAGCCAAAACCTCCAAACTCAAAACATTGGAAAATTAAATTGCAACATCCCACATTACATTCTAAGGTAAAGCCTGAAAACATTTCACAGTCATGTATCAAATAATCCAATGGAACTGTTGTGGAATAAAGGCAGCCATAAACAAATTGCATCTACTGATAACAGACCTGTTACCGGCAGTTGTTTGCCTTTAGGAAACATTCCTTAAACAAACTAACAAACTGAATATAAAAGAATATCGTCAATACAAGTAGCCACATGACACTGGGCTTTGAGCATCAGGCGGTCCATCCATCCAGTTAGGAATGATGTACCTCAAAGTAAAATAAATTTAACAACTTTACAGGTGACTTCTGTTAAAGTGACTTTACACAAATCAATAAACATCTGCTCAGTATATATACCACCAAATGAACCAGTAAATGAAGCTGAAATTCCTGAAATTATAAGGCAATTCCCTGTTCCTTTTATAATACTAGGGGACTTTAACTGTCACAGCACTATATGGGGTTGTAAGGACAAAAAGGAAGGACCTTAGAAACAATAATTAATAATGATTTATGCATTTATAATGATAAAACAAAAACTTACATAAATCCATTTACTGGCAGCTAGTCAGTAATAGATTTATCCCTATGTGATCCATCAATTTATATGGATTTCTCTTGGAAGGTACTGGCAGACACCTGCTGTAGTGATCACTTGCCAATCATCCTACAAAACTCAGAATATAATAACAAAAATCCTTTCAGTTGAAAATTAGGCGGAGCAAACTGGGATGAATTTAAAATCCAATGTTCTGAAAAACCATTTGAAGGAAAAATCATAAAGAAAACATTTCACAAAAATTCTCATCTCTATAGCAAAAAAAAAATGCATTCCAAAAAATTCAGCACCAAGAAAATGCAACTGACCTTTGTTCAATGATAAATGTAAAGAAGCCATCAGACTAAGAAGAGCAGCTCTGAGGGAATTCAACAAACAACTTACAATCTCGAATTTGCTGCAATTTAAGCAACTCCGAGCAAAAGCATGGAAAATAATTAAAGAAACCAAAAAAGAATGCTGGAAAAACTATGTCAACAGACTCAGTTCTGCTATAAAAATAAAATCTGTCTAGAATATGATAAATAAAATAGCAAGCAAATACCAAACACCATAAAATACCTCTTGATAAATAACTCTAAAATAATCAGCAAAAATTATATCGCTGACCAACTAGCCAAAACAATTTCTAAAAATTAATTTGCCAAGAATGGTTACCAACAATTTCTAAAGCTCAAACAAAAAGCGGAAAAACAAAAACTAAACATTAAATGAAATAATGCTGAGTGATATAACCAACCTTTCACTCTAGAGGAACTAAATGAATCTTTAAAGGAAGCCCACAATACAGCGGTGGGCCAAGATGATATCTACTACAAATTCATGAAACAGTTACTCAACAAATCATTATAACTGTTATTAAAAATATATAACCTGGACAAATGGCAACTCCTCAGAAATGTTGAGACAGTCATTCATCATCACTATTCCAAAACCTGGAAAGGATGACAGACACTGAAAACTACAGACTGAGAGCATTAACCAGTTGCCTATATAAAACTATGGAGAGAATGGTCAACAACAGGTTGACTTGCTACCTGTAAAGTAAATGCTTGATCAGTGACTTCCAATGTGCTTTTATGAAAAAAAAAGAAGCACTAGAGATCACTTAATACACCTAGAAACCTTTGTAAGGGAAGCCTACATTAAGAAGGAACATCTCACAGAATTCTTTTTTGAATTACAAAAGATGTATAACACAACATAGAAATTTGGTATCTTGAAGGACTGCATGAACTGGGCTTAAAAGGAAGGCTGACTCAATTCATAGCGAATTTCCTGGAAGACTGAAGATTTCAAGTCTATCAGAACTGCAACATCAAGAAGGGGCTCCACAAGCAAACATTCTTTCTGTGACCCTATTT